GGGCGCGGGCGGCAGCGGGGGCGGCGCGCTGCCCCGCGGCCGCCGGCCGCCCCGCTGGAGACAGAAGCCGGAGCGCAGGGGCTGGGAGGACACGCCGGCGGCCGAGGGCCCCGCGGGGCGCGCCCGGGCCGAGCGGAGGCACCGCTGCGCGGATTGCGCCCAGACCTTCGCCAGCCTGCGGAGGCTGCGCAAGCACCAGGAGGCGCACGGCGGCGGCGCGCACGGTTCCCGCGCCGGCCGCAGGCCCTCGGGCCGCTTCGCCTGCCCCCATTGCGCCAAGGTGTGCAAGACGGCGGCCGCCCTGAGCCGCCACGGCCAGAGGCACGCGGCCGAGCGGCCCGGGGGCACCCCCACGCCGGTCATCGCCTACTCCAAGGGCAGCGCCGGCACCAGAGCCGGGGAGGTCAAGGAGGAGGCCCCCCAAGAGATGCAAGTCTCCTCGTCCAGCGGCGAGGCGGGCGGCGGGAGCGCTGCTGCTGCGGAGGGAGCGTCCGAGACCGCCTCTCTCCAGGACCCTGTCATCTCAGGGGGTGAGGAGCCCCCGCTGGTGGCAGGAGGGGGCACCTATGCATATCCGCCTGTGCAGGAATTTCCACTGGCTCTGATTGGGAGCGGCAGGGAACCTAGTGGTGGGAGGGGGAAAAGTGGCAGCGAGGGGCCGGTGGGGGCTGGGGAGGGGGACCGCGCGGAGGGGTTGGGGGCCGCCAAAGTCACCTTCTACCCAGAGCCCTACCCGCTCGTCTATGGCCCCCAGCTCCTTGCCGCGTACCCTTACAACTTCAGCAACCTGGCCGCTCTCCCGGTTGCTCTTAACATGGTCCTACCTGACGAGAAGGGTGGGGGGGCCCTTCCCTTCCTTCCAGGGGTTTTTGGCTACGCAGTCAATCCTCAAGCAGCACCCCCTACTCCCCCAACCCCGCCTCCGCCCACTCTTCCTCCACCAGTGCCCCCTAAGGGAGAAGGGGAAAGGGCAGGGCTTGAGAGAACCCAGAAGGGAGATGTGGGGTGAGCTCTGGGCCCACCTCCCCCCTTTCACCAGATGCCACCCTCCCCGAACCCCCTGCCACTACCAGCTCCCTGGCTTCCCTGCCCCTTGGGAGCCCCTCCACACTCTTGTGCAGGGACTTGGGGGCCCCTGGAGCTCAGGGGTCAGGCTGCTTTGTGTGAGATTGTAGTTTTCCCATCTCCTGGGAAGGGATCTTGGGTGGTTCCCCTCTCAGTTCTCCTCCAGGGAATGGCCTCCATGAGGGGCAGGGCCAGCTCCCATCCTTTCTCCAGCCCTTGGGGCAACTGAGCAATATACTTATATGAATCTCTACTCACGGTCCCCACCAGCTCTGAATGTCTAACCTACCCTCCTGATTCGTAAACCCCCCCGGGGGGGGGGGAACCATCTCTCTCGCCTAGTGACCTCCCCTCATTCTGAAGCTTTCTCTAAGCCCCTGCCTAGATGCTTCCTAGCACATTCCATTCTTCGTGGCCCAGGGCCTGGACCAGACCATTGTGATACCTGACACCTGCCCATCTGGAAGCATGGCTTCCATTCTTCCCAGGGGTGGGTTTCTGCGTCCCTGTCTCCTTGGCTTCCATGCCTTTAGATCTTCCATATTCCTCCTCACTCTCCTAGACTCTGGAGATGGCCTCTTCCAATCCAGGTCAAGGAGGTGTTGGGGGGAGGGCTACCCATCTGTTCCACGGCTGAGCACTTTCCCAGCCCAGGGCAGCACTAATCTTGGCCCTATCTTGACCCCCAAATCCAGTGAGCCCCAGATTCTTCCAAGGCAAAGAGGTGAGTAGATCACACCTCTTCCTGCCTCTACCTATGGCCTCTTCTGGGCTAAATCAGATTTGGGGGCCAGGAGGAGGGAGCTCCATATGGGATGGGGAAGGGAATCTACTTTCTCCCTGGTTTGGTTTTGTTTTGTTCTTTTCCTGATGGTTTCTCCCAAACTAGACCAAATAGCCAGAAAAGTGATGGGGGTTGGATGGGTGGGTAAGCCCAAGATTTGCACATGACCTCCCATCCTTACCTTTACCTCCATTTTCCCCAGTCTCGCTTCCCTCACCATTCACTCCAGGTGGTTTTTGGGGAACCATCCTACTCCCTTGGTGGGCTTTGGGGTATCCCCACCAACTTTTCCTCCAGAATAGCACCTTACACCCCATCTTTGACTCAGTTCCCCACACCCAAAGATCCCAGCCTAGGGATGGGGTGCAGGGACCTTAAACAGTCCCTAATCCCTAATTTGCACTAGTTAACCCTGGTCAGGGGTCCGTATGTTTCCTTCCAGTGGGGGAGTTGAAGAAATGTTTGCTCCTAATTCTCTTTGACGACCGGGCGTCCCCACTCTGTGATCGGATGAACATTTCCCATCCCACCCACCTCCCCCCTCCCAAAAAAAAAAAAAAACAAAAAACAGCTCACAAGGGGAGAGTCAGGTTGGGGGAGCAAATCTGATAAATGGGAATTAGAGGAGTGCAGTTTAAAAGGGGGAAATGCTGCCACCATTGAGATGGGAGCTTCATCCCCGCTACTGTTTTCCGGGGCCAAGATGGCTGCCCTCTCTCGTGGCTGAAAGGGCAAGATCATGGCTTTTGGAGGGAGGTGAGCTTGGGGGAAGGACCAGGAGCATCCTCCTGCCACCTCTTACCCTCCTAGTCTACAGGAAGGGGGAGGTTTTTGACAGGCTCCTGAATGTTAACCACGGAGGAGTGTCATTCCTTCTCTCCTCCTCTGTCTCTTTGCACTTTTCCTGGTCTTGGCCACAGTCCGAGTGAAGAGTTCCTACTGAATGTACCAAGTTCCAATTTTTAAGGGGGTAAAATGCTTAAAACGGGAAATGCAAAAAAAAAAAAAAAAATCACTAAAAAATTCCCACAAATCTCGTTTCTGGCACTTTAGAAAAACTGCGAAAAAAGAACATAATAAAGAATACATATATATATATCTACACACAAATTTTATATATATACACAAACACACACATATATACACACACACACACACAGCGGAACCACAAGGGAGACAGAAGCCTTGGAGGCAGGGGGCAGACGTGATGACAGCTCTCCCATATCCTTAACCTGCACTCCTCTGAGGCAGAAAGGCACAGGTAACGGAAGGAGTTGAGGATGGACCGGGGGATTTGAATTTCAGAACAGGTCAAAATTCCAAAAGCACGGACATTTTCGGGAGAACTGAGATTGTAGACAATTTTTTTTTGAAAATATGATTTAGGAAACTAGCTTCCAGAATTTGGTGGTTCTGGGCAACAAATAAGATTGTGGCAAATTGGAGATTAAAATACGTGTATCCGAGCTGGGGAACTGGAATATTGTGAATTTCAGATGTTGGAAATTTGGGATTTTGCAATTCCGTCTTTTGAAAATTATTCAAGTCTTGTCAGTTTGTGCCCTCTTTCCCCATGTTCCCTGGGGAGAAGGGTGATGGTGGAGTGGAAAGGCCATTGGTTCTGTGCCACAGCACGCAAGGTTTAGAATCCTACAGACTGTAGCTCTATACGTAGTGAGGACCCAGATTTAGAGAAACTGACCAATATTTATCTCCGCATCTGTGTGTGTGTCCAACTCTCTAGGCCAATAAACCAACAAGACAAACAAACTGTGCTCCGCACTGGGATGCCAAGTGCACTTCTTTGCGTGGCTGGCGAGTCGGCTGGATAGGGGCGTGCTCACCTTGTCCCCCAGGGATCCTGGGAGCTGCAGCTGTATGAGCCCTCTGAGGGCAGGGCCTCCAGCAGCTGAGGAGGTGTGAGGGCTTGGTGACCCTGCGTACTTCACTGTAACGACTGCAGCCACTAGGGCTCAAGCTGACTTTGGTCTGACCTCCAGGCAGAAACATTAACTCAGCCCAGTTCGCACAACCCGCTGGGCACAAGATCCTAATGTCCCGTGCGCCTTACACTTGGTGCGACCCGCTCTCCAAATCGAAAAGAAATGGGCATAAAGTGAGGGATGGTCGTGAGATACCACCACCTTTTTCTACTCCTAGCCTCTCCTTGTCTTCAACTCATCTCCCCACCCCTCTCCTGGATTTTGTCTAATGTTACAGAGGAACAGGCAAGTAAAATGAGCCAAGCTGGTCAGCTGGGTGGGGACTTTGAGGAGTTTTCTGGTGCAAATACCTTGACCAGGGTGGGCTGCCACACTCATCAGCACCAGCAGGTTGCTGCCAACAGGGGAATCAGGCCCGGTGTTACTGTAGTTTAATTTTTTTTTTTTTCCCCAAGAGAAGCCAGAAATCCAAATTTCTCTGTGCAATATCCAAATTTTTAAAGTAGCTAACTCACACTAAAAATTACACAGGCCAACAACATAGGTCACACAAACATACCAGTTTGCAAACTCTGATGTATACTGTGTAGAGCTTTTGCTCCCATCTTCTCATGTGACCTTCAGACTTGAGAACAGATACTATTCTTAGCTTCATTTTACAGTCATGGAATCTTAAGCCCAGAGCGGCTTAGTACCTTATCCAAAGTTTGAGCACCAAAGCTGGAACCTAAATGAAGGTTTTTTAAAATGCTCTTTTCCCCCCTCATTACAAATGCATCCTTTTAGAAATAACTTTTTTTTTAATCCTAAGGATAACGCTTATTACAAAACAATAAATTACAGGAAAGTAAAAACAAAGAATGACCACTAGTCCCAATATGCAAACATAGGCACTATTAACTGATATAGTTTCTTCCAGGAAAAAAAAAAATTCTCTAATCACTCAACAAATGTGAAGCACCTACTATCCTACAGGTCAGGACCTGTGCTAGGTACTGGGGTATTACAGTGAACAAGACACAGTTCCTGCCCTCCTAGGGCGTACAATCTACTTCTCCTTCTTTGTTCCATTCTACCGGCAACCTAGTGTTGATACCCAAAGGAACTTCTACAAGAAGCCAAAGAATAAATAAACCGATAGTGCATTTCTTGTGGGGCCGAGGGCTTCAGTCGGCCCCGTCCCACTTGGGCGCTCTCCCCAGAAAGGCAATGATATGGGAAGCCTGGATTCCTAGTGGAGTCGAGAGGCAGAAAGGCACAGGCCTTGACAGCACTGCCCAACTCTCAGTTCAGCTGGCCGAGGACCTGCGTCTTGGCCCTCTGTCCTCAAGGAAAGGGGTCGGCAGGGGGCAAGTGGTACGAAGCGTCCAGGAAGATGACGAGGGTCCCAACGCTCGTGAAGATGATGAAGGTCCACAGGAAAAGGCGATCCACTACCATGGCTACAAACTGCCAGTCTTCTTTCAGCTGGGGGTAGGCAGAGTAAACGGTCCCTGAGCTCCAGAGCCCCAGGGAAGGCCGGCCCCGGACCCTCGCCCTTGTCCTACGGCTCAGAGACAGGGGCGGGCCGCGGGACCGAGGAAAACGAAACTGCGGACGACCGACGGAGCGAGGAACCAGTCGGAAAGCAGGGGGCGGGACCAAAGGAGGGGAGCTTCCAATCAGAAACAAGAGCGGGTGCTAGGGGCGGAGCCTGGGTCTGCGGGTGGAACCGAGGCCACCCGGGCCCCGCCCTGCTCCACCCTCATTGGACTTACTGCGTCGCGGTCCTCCTGCTCCTGCAGCTGCCGAGCGATGTAGCTGATGGAGGAAACGGCCTCCCGTAGCTCGGGAGGCAGGCCCACAGCCCGGGTTGGACCATCGGTAAGTCGCCGCAGGTCCGGGGCAGTCAATTCAGGCTGGAACCTGGAAGAGGCGCGACAGTTTGGCCACGCTCAAGGCTCCGTCCCGACCCCCTCCTCCAACACTCTGACAAGAGTTTTCAAAACGTGAGAAGGCCCTTTAGGCTCTCCCCGCCAGCGGCGACCTCTCCAGCCTTCCGCAATTTCTCCCATCTCTGTACGCTTTAGTCTCCGCCTTTCCGCAAAGTAGGCGGTGGAAAGGGGTGGGTACTACAATTCCCATGATGCCCAAGGGCATCTTCTGGGACCTTCAGCCGCCTGCCTCCGCACAGTCCTCTGGGAACTGTAGTTCCCTCTCTCCCTTCCTTGTAGGCGACGTGGAGTAGGTACTACCTGTTGGGTTTGGGGAAGAGAAAATCGTTCGGTGGCTTCCGGATGAAATATTCATCTGTTCCCCGACCCCAGCCACTTCCTGGAGAATCCCTGAGGGCTACAGGAGGTGGCTCCGGCATCAGGTCTCTCTCAGGTTTGGGCCTCTTCAGACCCAGGTATAGAGGGAGTTTGTGGATGAAGATCTGCTGAGTAGAAAGGCGTGTTGGCGGGGGCTCTCACACTTTCAGACCGGAAGGGAAACAGCCCGCCGTTCCTCCACCTGCCCATCCCCGCGCATGCGTGCGCGCGTCCCCCCAGCCACACAGCCTCAAGAGCTCCCAAGTGGGTTGCGAGGCGTCCTGGCTGGAAAGAAGAGTTCCGAGGGCTTCCACCCTGACAGGACCAGACTCTGAGAACGTTTCCCTGAGACCCAGTATGAGCAGTACTGCCGAAGAAAGAGGAATCTATGACATGACAGTGTCGGGAGGGTGAAGTTAACTGCGCAACGTTTCAACATCCAACAGGCCCCGGCACTAGAACATTCTACCAGGAGTTGTAGTTCTCCCTTAGGTCTGAGAAAGGGAAGGTTTAAGTTGGTAGGCGGGTTGCAGGAGTGATACCTGCACACAAAAAACAAACACCAGGACTGAAGGAGGACATCTTACCCGGCGGACCCAAACGGGCATTTGGTGGGTGTGGGGTGAGCGATGGTGCAGGTTGAGGACTACGACGCTCAGGATGACTGAGAAAGTGACGAGGACCATGGTAAACATGAGGTACTTGATAATGATGGGGACAGACAGGGAGGTCTCAGGGACTTTGTCTGCCAGCAGCAACAGGAACACGGTAAGGGTCAGCAGCGCAAAGATGGACAGCCCCATCTTCTCTCCTTGCGGGCCAGAGGGGAAGGCAGAAGAATTAGGCTTTGCCAGAAGGCAATTTCCATGGCATAATCAGTGACCTCCAGCCCACACAAGGCCAGGCTTTTGGAAAGGCCAGCTGCATGCAGATGACTCTTAAATTATACCTCCAGCCCAGACTTAACTCTCCTAAACCCCAGATTTATAGCCACCTGCTGATTTAACCTCTCTGCCTGGATGCCCGATAGACATCTCAAACTTAACATGTCCCAAAACTAATCCCCTGACCACCAAACCCTCCCACAGGCTCCCGAATTTCATGAATGGCAAATCCATCTTTCCTGGGGCTCCGGCCAAAGTCCTATCAGTCATTCTCAACTCTCCTCTCTCGCTCTCATCCCATATCCAATCCATAGCAAACCCTACTGGCTGTACCTTCAAAATACGTTCGTACAAAGCACTATTACCTCGGGTCTGAGTTATTATAAAGGCCTCCTCTTTGCTTCATCCTATTTGCCCCTGCTGACTGTTCTCAACAGAGCAGCCAGATTGATCCTGTTAAAATGTAAATCAGATTGTATCACTTCTCTTTTCAAAACCTTCCAGTGGCTTCTCACCTTCTTTAGCATAAAAGCCAGTCCTTAGTGCGGTTGACAAGGCCTTCTTCCCATTATCTCTCTGACTTTATCTCCGACTGTTTTTCTCTTGCTTCCTTCATTCAGTTATCCTGGCTATTTCTTGAATATGCAAGGCTCACTCCAGTTCAGGGTCTTCGCATTCACTGTTAACTCCACTCGGTACATTCTTCCCCCAGGTGTCTGCCAGGGTCATTCTCTCACCCCCTTCAACTCTTCAAATGCTGATCAAATATTTCCTTTTTATTGAGGCATTCACTGATCATTCTCTATCTTTTTAAGATTTTATTTTCAAGTAATCTCTACACCCAGTGTGGGGCTTGAACTCACAGCCCCGAGATCAAGAGTCATGTGCTGTACCAAGCCAGCCTGGGGCCCCTGACTGTTCTATTTTATTTTTATTTATTCTTTTGGCAGGGGGAGGGGCAGAGGGAGAGGGAGAGGGAGAGGGAGAGAATCTTAAGCAGGCTCCATGCCCAGCGCTGAGATCATGACCTAAGCAGAAATCAAGAGTGGGACACTGAAGCAACTGGGCCACCCAGGCGCCCCCTGGCTGTTCTATTTTAAATTGTAACCCCTACCGCCATTCTCATCCTCCCTAACCACTTTTCCTACTTTATTTTCCTCCTTAGGACTTGTCCTCTTCTAATATACTACCTAATAGATTTACTTATCTTGTTTATTGGTTGTCTCCCCACTAGAATGTAAACTCCACAAGGGCAAGGATTTTTGTCTCTTTTATTCACTGATGTAGTCCCAGTGCCTACCTAACACATTATAGATGCTAAACAAATATCATGGCATGAATGAATAGACCAACCCTTGTAGCTTTTTTTAAGGAACTAAATAGCAATTTGAAGGATTTAAAAAAGGAAACAAAGTATATAAGGATATGCCAGGTGGCTGATTATTCCTGTGGCATAAAATAGGCACCTCAAACTTCAAGGAAGGTATTGAAATAAAAAACTTTTATGGTCTGCTCTACTTAAGTCCTATATAATATTGGGTTCCAAGATTTGCTCTGCTCCGGGAGGAAGTAGAAGTTACATTTGGAAGTGTGTTCTAGAGCTGGATCACTTTCCTTCCCTAGATAGAGAACTTGATGCCAGAAAGAAGGAAAGCATACTTTAAATACCAGAGTTAAGGATTTCAGTCTCAGAATCAGACTGGCGCCAACCAGAGTTGGAATGGCGACACTTCCTCTCTCTAACTGTACTGTGGGGCAAATGACTTAAACTCTCTCAGCCTCTTTGTCCTTTTCTGTAAAGTGGGAAGACAATTCAGTATTCACCTCACAGAATTGTTCTGAAGATTAGAATTGAGTTAATGTAGGAGCGCCTGGGTGGTGCAGTCAGTTAAGGGTCTGACTGTTGATTTCGTCTGGGGTCATAGTCTCTGGGTCATGAGACTGAGCCCCATGTCTGGCTCAGCACTCAGCGCAGAGTCGGCCTGAGATTCTCTCTCTGCCCCTCCCCCTTCTAAAATAAGTAAATAAATCTTAAAAAAAAAAAAAAAAGAATTGAGTTAATGTATGTAACATGTTGGGGCACCTGGGTAGCTCAGTTGCTAAGCGTCTGCCTTTGGCTCAGGTCATGATCCCAGGGTCCTGGGGTCGAGCCCCGCATCGGGCTCCCTGCTGAGTGGGAAGCCTGCTTCTCCCTCTCCCACTCCCCCTGCTCATGTTCCCTCTCTCGCTGTCTCTCTCTCTGTCAAATAAATAAATAAAATCTTAAAAAAAGTATGTAACATGTTAACTGTACTACTTATAGCAAGTGCTCAAAAATAGTAAAAATAATAACACTTACATAGAACTTAGTTGGTACCAGGCATAGTTCTATTAACTCAATTAATCCTCAAAATAATCCTGTTAGGTAGGGACACATAGGAAGGAATTTGCCCAAGGTTACTCTGTAACTACATTATGCTGCCCCCTAGAGAAATGTTGCTATTATTTCCAAGGGAATCTCCAAGGGACTAGTAGGTGTGTGTGTGGGGGGAAGTCGGGGTCGGAGGGTGGGGGAAGTATACCAGGAATGGGGAAAGGGAACGGGAGAGCTGTCTAACCAAAAATGTTGGTTCCAAGGATGAGATCTTAGGATTCTGAAGGAAAGAGTTCAGGAGTTCCTGGATGGAGAGAAGTGGGCAGCAGCGGGGAGGCAGAGCCTGAGGTTGGAGGGAAAACCTCGATCCAGATGAGAAGACTTTTGGTTGAAGGGAAAACCTGGGCACGATTGCTGAAGCACAATCCATGATGGCTTGGGTTGGCAGAAAAACCCTGCCTGGATTCAGGGTGGACAGGAAGAAGCTGAGCAACTGGTAAGAAGGAGGGTTGCCAGCTCTTCCCTCCCTTACCTGCATCTGGCGGCAGGTAGAAGACGAAGATGGCCAGGAGAGTGATGAGGATGCATGGGGCAATGACATTGACCAGGTAGAAGAGAGGCTTCCGGCGAATGATGAGGTAGAAGGTGACTTCTTGCCGCTGTCCTTCCCCCCCTCCCCTAGGATCCGCTGGAGGCTGGATTAGCCGAGAAGGCTTGTGGATAATTTCCCATTGGCCATTCTCTGGGAGGAAGGAGACGGGAGGAGAGAAGAAAGGGACACAGATGTGGAACCTGTCCTTCTTGCTGCCAGATATGGCTTGCCCTGCCACATCCTAGACCTGAGAGTGGCTGACGTGATAAGGCACTAGCTGTGGACACTGGGCTGGGCAGCCCATCTCTGATGAACGAGTCTCCACTTCCATATCTGCAAAATGTAGAGAGTCCCACTTACCTTCCCGACCCCACAGGTTGTACTGGGCATTGCTGAAGGAGGCGGGTATTTATCAGCCTGTTAGAAACTGGAAACCATAAAGCCCATGGACGTGGGAGCCATGCCCACTCACCAATGAAGGTCCCTTCATGAATGTGCACTTCCCGCCGCTCCTGCTTATGAGGACCCAAGCCGGTCCGCAGGCTGACCTCGGAGCTGTCATAACTGTAGGAACTGAACACCATAGTGCAGTTCTGCCAGTCGAAGGGGAAGTAGGTGACCTGGATGGAGCGGGGGTGGGGGGTGTGACCAGAGCTGCCAGAGAACTGTTCGGGGCTGGGGGCGTTGGGAGGTCATTAGGGTCACAGACGAAGTGGAAGGTTATTAGGGGAGGCCACGGGCAACGGAAGCGAGGTCACTGAGAAACATTGCAAGTCAGCAGCGACAGTGGGCAGAGAGGATGAAACAACGCAAAATCAGGAGGACGGGAGCGATATGGGAGGGTTAGGGGGGATAATGGAAGAGGGATGGGAGTCGCTGCGGAGGCCGTGTCTCGGAAGAGGCAGGGTTCCCAGGGGAAGCCCGGGCACCTGGATGCTGCAGCTGCTACGGTAGAGGCCCGGAGGCTGCCAGCGCACGGAACCATTGGAGGACACCACGACGTTCAAGTCCAGAGCAACGTCAAAATTCCCGTCGTTGCTGCGGGGAAGGAACCGTCTCGGTCGGGATCAGGCCCCGCCCTTCGGAGGCCCCCGCCCACCTCCCCGCCTTGGGGAAGATCTTACTTGTTTAGGAGCACCACGTCCGGAAGCCACACGGATCCCGCCGTGATGCGGAGTGAATCGATGCCGTCGTGCTCCGCGGGGTCCCAGCTCAGCCTGTAGTCAGTCCACTCCTGTGGAAGCAGAGGCTGAGGGGCTGTCTGGGACTGGAGCCTGGGAGGGGACGTGGGATGTCCGGAGGAAGCCGGGGAGGGGGTGCAAGGAAGGGGAGCCGACAGGCCTGGGCTATGGTCCTGGAAGTCGGGGTTCTGATTCCGGCTGCACCTTTACTTGCTGGGACCCCATCAGCCAATTTCCTCTTCCCTCGCCCTGGGCCCCCAGTTTTTAGTCTGTAAAAATGAGGAGGTTGCACTAGCTAGCCACTAAAACTGTTTTTCAAACTGCAGTTAGCCACCCTTTAGTAGGTCGGGAATCAAATTAGTGGCCCCCAAAACATTGTTTAAAAAATTAGAATAAGAAGTGTGTGGAAGGCAACTCCCATAGTAAAGATAGGTATTGTCTCTTGAAGCTTCCGTTCCGTTATGTTTTCTGAGGTCGTGATGCAAGATACACTGTTACTGAGCGGGACACTGGAGGAAATTGGAAAGGCAGCGGGACGCCCTCTCCCGCCCCGTGGGGTCTCCATACCAGGTCTAAGTACACCTTTGTGTTCATCTCCTCATCCTTCTCGTTCTAGAAGGGAAAAGTTTAAAGGGTAGAGGTGATGTGAATAGAGGGAAATGAAGGGGCTCGGCGGGTCAAGCTCTCTGGAAACCCCTCTTTTTCTGAGTCCCTGTCGCTTGGCTCCAAGCCCCGCCTCCTAGATATTGCATTGGCTTAAGCCCCGCCTCTATCCCAGAAACTTCCGGCTGTCTACACCGCCAGCCAACCCAGCTACCAATCCGGCCCTCCGCCCTGCTCCGTCCCGGGCCCCACCCACAGCCCGTAACTCACCCAACCCTGAATCTCCGCCCGCTGTTGTTTCCCGACCCAGTCCGGCGCCAAGCTCCGCCCCAGCCTGCGACCCGCCTCAAGGCCCGTCCCCCAGCTGGTCCCGTAGCCCCGGCCTCACCCCTCACAGGGTTCCTCGCCCTACCCGGCTCTACCCCCGGCCGATCCAGCAGCCACGCCCACAGCTTGTCCATTGGTCCGATTTCGACCCAATCTCTGCTAACGGCCCGTCCATCTCCCGGCGGGGCCTCGCCCCAGGCCCCGCCCCCAGATGTCCCTCGCTCCCGCCCCGCCCAAAGCCACGCCCCCAGCCGGACAGCGCGCCCGACTTCCACCCCGGCGTGCCCCCTCACCAGGCTGATGAGTTGCGCCAGGCTGAGGCCAATGCTGACCCCGACACGGTCCCCCACCTCCCGCGCCGGCCGCACCGAGCTGTCATAGCCCGAGAAAAGCTTCTCGCGGAGCCGGCCCTCTGCCTCCGTGCTGCGGGCGCCTGGAGGAGGAGAGCACGAAGTGAAGCCACCGCGCCCGGCCACGACCCCTGGCCCCGTCACTGCCCCCCCCTTGAGGCCCAGACGTACCCGGGGCGAGCGGCGCCCCCAGCGCCCCCAGCAGCAGCAGCAGCAGCGGCCCTGGGGTCATAGCCCGGCCGCGTTGCTCAGTGAGTTCGCTCGGTTCGCCAGCGCAGGGGAAGTGACGAGGCGCCCAGGAATGTGCACCTGTTGTTGGGGGGCAGCCGCCAGCCCACCCGCCCCGCCCCTGGGACTTGGTCCCGCCCCAAGCAACTGCCAATGCCCGCCACGCACAGATGACAGACAACACTTCAGTTGCATAAATCGTCTTTAATTGAGAAAGCTTGGAGTGGAGACCCCGTCCCCTGGGAGCAGAGCCAGGGGATGGGTGGAGCCTGAGCGGGGTCTGTGTGGGCGAGGGGAGTATGTACCCCTCTTGCAACAAGCCAGAAATAGAGAAAGAGCCTGAGGAAGAGTGACCTGCCTCTGAGCCCAAGCCCCTCCCTTTAGGGTCTCCTCGGTCTTCCCTGCGCAGGTCTGAGGCTACTCCTAGTTCACTGGTGGGTTCCTGATCTTTCTCAGGGCTGCCCCTAGCTCTACACGCTTCTCAGAAAAAGCTAGTCAGGCCCTTTTGGGGTACCTAAAGCTTAGCTGAACTTATAAGCTGTAAGGTAAAGCAAGTTCTATTAAGTTAGAAGCTCTGGGGTTATATGAGGTCTAGAGCCCAAGAGGCCCTCACCCTCCTTGGCCTGACTTATAGGGGAGAGGGGTGGAACTTATTGCTGAATTGGGGTCTCTGCCCTGGGGATCAAGGCTGTGTCCTGTTTGTTCTTTTTATTCTAGATCCATTACCTTAGAGACCTCAGCTTTAAAGGGGACCTGGAAGGAATTCCTGCTGAGGTAGCTAAGTGTTCATGTCCCCCCCAACCCAGACACAGCCAAAACATGCCGTGGGTTTGGCCCCTCGGCCATCCCAGCTTCCCTACTATGAGCCAAGGATTCCTTCCCAGACTCCTCTGCCCTTCCTCAGACTCTGTTTCCCTGGCAGGACCCCAGCTGAGTTACAGGAGCTAGAAACTGCATGTAAAAATAAGGTTAGCATTCTATAGGAAGAATCGGATTTTTAGAAAATCTAGGAAAAACAAGAAGTGTTTCTTGATTCATCAACAAAGTTCTTAGTGAATCACAGCTGGGTTCTTTCCAGAGCTCACCTTTAATAGGTATTACTAGAGAAGGTAGGAGGGTGGGTCTAGAACTCACTCTATACGAGCGATGATATGGCTACCTAGGCCCCGGCTCCATCCTGGAGGGAAGGGCTGAGAGTCATGGTCTACGTCCTAGAGCCGAGATTCAGAAGGAAGTATGGCTCCATGTGTGTCTAGAACACCATGCTCTAGAATTGGGTGTCTTTGGGATAAGAAAGTTAAAACTGTGGTGATCTGAGACTGGTCCTAGTTCAGGCCAAGGCCAGCAGCTGGATAGGGCTCAAATCTAGTCTCTCTCTACTTGGAAACCAGGGGTCCATCTGGGTCAAGGACAGAAGCCTGATGGATCCAGAACAGAGCCTGGCAGCATGCCAGCATTCCAGCACAGAGCCTTAGTGCAAAAAGGGCCCTGGCTAGGGTGCCTGGTGTTCCAGAACCTGTCCAGAACAAGGCAGAAGGTGTAGTAGGGCAAAAAGGAAACTAATCCTGACCTCCAGTAGACCTATAAATCTATGGCTCAGTGGCAATGAAGAGGGCATAGGGCTCCCGGAACTGGCTGAGCCCAGGGTGCAGAGTATTTACGTCCCGGTTCTGTCAGTTTGGGAACACCCAGCACCTTCTTGGGAAAAGGCTTTGGGGGGCTGTGAGTGTGGAAGGAAAGAAGTGATCAGCCAGGACCATTTTCAGAATCCTCCTCTCTGAACTCCTCCCAGGAGCTGGAAGTCGGGGCGGGGGGTCACAGCCAGCCCCTTGGCTCCCTCAGGATAGAGCACCTGCCGGGACCTGGCTGCTCAGGGCATGAGGGTGGCGGCAGGGGTGAGGGCAGGGCGGGGAGCAGGGCTGGGGCACAGGCTGTGGCAGTGGCTGGCTCCATGCAAAGGCAGGGAGCCTCCAGTCCACGGACTACATTTCAGGGGGCAGGGGGGCTGGAAGGGGAGGTCTCAGGGACACTGTGGACAGAAGGTTCCCGGTACATGGCCACTGTGAAGGAGAGAGAGGAGCAGGAAGGAGAATTAGGCACAGAGAGACCTAGGAGGAATCAGAGCTCAGAAAGTGTGCCCTTCCCTGAAACTCATCCTCTGGGAGCCCCAACCCACAGGAGGAGGGTTCCCCAAACCCTCAAAGGCCAAAGCCTTCCTGGCTTGACCTGTCATAACAGGTGTCCTCTTGAATACTTGTAGCCCCCAAGTTGCCGGTCACTCAATGTCCACGTCAAGGCCAGCACCCTCCCATGTGGCCCAGCTTTTCTGCAGTCCATACTCACCCTCCAGGAGCTTGGGCACAAAGTGGGCGGCTGCCTTGGTCTTCTTGACTCGATTTCCCTTCATGACTCGGCCCTCCTTGTCCAGGCCCAGGTACCAGGCCCGGCCGGAGCGGCGCTGCCGGTAGAGAGCAGAAGCGTACAGGACATAGTAATTCTCGAAGACGCATTCCTTAAAGCGACACTCAGCTGTGAAATGTGGCTGAGGAGACAAAGACCCAGAAAGGCACACAGAGACAGACAGACAAGAAGACATCTCACTGGACAGAAGGAAGAACAAGCCAGGATAGAATCCATACATTTCGGGCTGGGAGGGCCCACTTCTCACTCCATGCAGAGGCTAGGAGAGAGGGGGGATGAGGGAGAGTCTGGCCGGCCCCCAATTGTTAGAAACTAGATTTCGGGGGTGCAGGGAGCTGGAATAAGAAGAAACTAGACGGGGGGGGGCAAGCCCCAGGCCACGCAGCCTTGTCTCACCGAGCTGTAGAGCAGCCCCTCCGCGTTCATGGCCATGTAGTGACCCAGCTTGGCACTCTGGATGGTGACCACACGGAGCCCCACGGGGATCAGGTTGAAGTGGGCTGGGGGTGGAGAGAAGGGGGCATCAGTGCCCAGGGCCTCAGGCCCCCAGCCCAGCACCCCCGCCCCCAGCCCAGTTCCACCGCTTCCCTTGGGGGTCCAAGAGCCAGACTGAACACAGCAGCACCGGAAGTGCTAGGATGTCACCTCCTATCCCCAGCTCTCCCTTCCCATCCAGCCGCTGGCTTCCCCTCTCACTGAAAGAGCTGGTGTCCTCTGGGGTGCCCTGGATGCTCCCGTCAGGATTAGCCTGGAGGTAGAAACCCTGGCGGCAGAACAGTTTGGTGACGATGCCTTTGAGCTGAGGCTCTGGAGAGAGAGAGAGAGAGAGAGGGAGAGACATTCATCTTTGAAGATGACATCTCTGTTCCCAGAACCATTCCTACACTTGGCGGGATGGGAGGAAAGAAAGAGGGGAGAATGGGCGGGGAGGACGCGGGTCCCAGGGCCCCAGCTCTCTGACCCTCTAAGCAGGCTCTTTCCCACCTCTCCCTGAATCCGGAGGAAGCCAGGGTGCGGGTCTCTTCTGCTTCCTCTAACCCCCAGCTTTCCGTTTAATTTATTGAAATTTATTTAAATGGCTTAATTCCTACTCTACAGCTCCACCAGAAGTGGGGGGAGGGGAGGGGAGGGACGAGCCATCAGAAGGCAGAGGACAGAGGGAGGCAGGCGGCGCTGCAGAAGGGCCCGTGTGTTTGTGGCTGTGGGGGGCGGCGAGGTGACCACAGGGTCGGGGCGCCCCCTCACGAGTGGGGGTGGGACTGGGCCCGACGCTGACTCAGCACCTGCTGCTGCGGCTGCCGCGCGCTTGGCGCGGGCCTTGCCTTGGCCGGGTGCCGGCCTGTCTGACACTGACCCATCTGTCCGTCTGTCTGTCTGTCAGCCCGCGGGCTCGCGGGGCCCCAGCCCTCCCTGAGGCCCAGCCTCTCCCCTTCAGCCAGGTAACCCGTCTGAGGTGGGGGACATTGGGTACCAAACCCAGGAAATGGGGGAAGGGGGGCCGGGGAGCTGGCGAGGCAGGCGGAGTCACGTGGGGGCCGGGTCCCACTCAAAGGGTGGGCTGCGGACCGTACCACTACGGAGGGCCGGCGGCGGGGGGAGGAGGGCACGAGGGGGCTACCCCTAGGGGAGCTGGGAGCAGGCGGGAGCGGGGCCAGAGGGACTCCTGCCAGTCGTGCCTGGACGGGGACCACGCGCCAACCCTCACCACTCTCCCTCCCTGTCGCTTGCTCTCGGCTGACTTCCCCGTACCCCCTTGTAGGTGGTACGACCCCCGCCCCCCCAGTCTCCGAGCGGGTCTCTCGCCCGGTCCTGGGTCTGAGTTCCTCGCGGCAGAGGGTCCCCCGAGCATGTGGGAGCCGCTTTCGGAGTCGCGTAGGGGGTAATGGGGGGGTGGCCGGCTCCCCTCTCGAAGCGCTGGTCACCGAGGAGGGCGCACAGAGGGGCGGGCTGGCGAGGTAGCTGCAAGGACACCCGGGGGAGAGCTGGGGAGATTGGCGCTGAGCCAGGGAGGCTCGGCCAGCGGGAACGGAGCCAAGGCGTGGAGGAGCGGGAGAACCGGGGCGGGGGCGGGGCTGCCAGAGCTGCAGAAACCCTCGGGGTGACCCAGGCGTCCGGAACCCCCAAGCCTCTCCGCCGGGCATTGAAAGAATCGCGAGAGCCGGCACGTAGGCGGTGGACGGTGGGGGTGGGGACTCCTGCGTTGGGGAGGGGGGGAGGGGGAGGGGGAGGGGGCGGGAGGGGCAAGCCGGAGCCGCGAGGCTTCGGAGCGCCAGACCTAGCCCCCCAAGCCTTCCCCTTGCCCTCGACAGCAAGGAGACTCGGGGTTATGGGCAAAAAAGACGGGAAACTGAGGCATTGTCTAGCAGAGACTGTGTGGTCCTGGCCCACCCCCCTTTCACTTTCGGGGAACCCCCCCTCAGTCGGGCCCCATCCTTCGGAGTCCCTGGCCTCAACCTCCCAGGCGGAGAGACCCCAGGCCCGGAGACCCCGCTCCAGCCACTCACCAGGGCCGCGGTCCGGCCGCGCGGGCCGCCCCCCGCACAGTCGCACCTTGGACAGCAGGATGAGGAGCTGCTTCTGGCAAAGGGACTTGGTGCCGCGGGGACACACGCGCCGCTGCGCCGACACGGGCCGGCTGCCCCCGGGCTCGCGGACCTCCCGCTTCTGCCGGATCAGGCTACTGGCCAGAGCCGCCATGGCGCCCCGGGAGGAGACACCCCCAAACCGGCAGGCACCCGGAGCGCCAGGCTCCTCAAGAGAAGCCCGCTCACCGGGGCATGCTCTTTGACGCTGGGGTCCCAACTCCCCGCCTCATCCACGGGACCTGAGGATAAGCCCCGGACCCCCCACCCCCCAGCCGCCAGCCGCCAGCTCCCACCCTTGGGCCCTGTGCTAGCTCCACCGGACCCAGCAGCCTATGTATCTGTTGACCCCACCCTCGACTTTTGCCTCCTACTGAAAACTACCCCCTTCCCTGTTCTCCACCGTCCCTGTCCCCACTTTCCTTAGGCCAAAGTCGAGACCCTCAAAATTTGCAAGATGTGGTTCCAATACCCCCAGGCACCTTTCCACCCTATTTTGGGGACCCGCACTCCTGCCAAATCCACTCTTGTAACCTAAAGGGTGCGGGTCCTTAGCTTTGAATATATTAGCTCAACCCCATCCCTACTGGGGCACTGCCAATGTCAGGAAGGAACCCAACCTTGGTGTCTTTGCCACCCTCCAAGTGGAAAGGATCCCCCACTTTTTTCAGTGAAGTCCCCCCAAACTGGGAAAACCCAGGCTGTCCCCGTTCAGCGATTAGGGGTTCCCAGACCCTGTCTGGACAATACTTTTTTTTCACCAAGTCACCCCCATTTCTAGTGGTACGTGGTTCCAGCTGCCGAGCCCCTTTCCTCACCTTGTCACCCTCCACTCCTTTTGAAGTCACCTCCAAATCCGCCCTTCCTAGTGGATACACCAGGTGGTTGTCTGGAGGGTCTCTGTCACCTCGAGATAAGGAGCATCCGGTTTTGTTTTTTTTTTTTTCCTGGTTGCCCCTTAATTTCCTCGGGGACAGCTGGTGCTGCTTAGATCCCACGCCCTCCAATCCAACCAGCCCCCCGAGAGGAGTGCACCCACGTTATCACCAGTTCCCAAATGTGAACAGGCCCCCTACAAGTCAGAGTGCATCGGAGCTTTCTGCGACAGGGCTTCTCGGCTTCCCCGGGACAGCCTATAGCACCCCTCTTCCTTCCCCGACGCCCCTCAACCTGTCCTGTCTTGTTGATCCGGCAACGGGTGGCGCTGGCTCCGGTTCCAGGCTCCTCCCTCCCTGTCCCTCGCCAGCGGAGCTTCCCCCCACGCCGGGCTAGGCGCCCCGGACCCCCAGCAAGGAGGAAGGGTGTCTCCGCAGAGCGCCCTGGTCGGGCGAAGTCAGAGCACTGGGCCGGGCGGCTGGACCAAGCAGAGCCGCGGTGGCTGCGGCGGCGGCGGCGGCGGCGGTGGCAGTGGGGAGCCGAGGCGGCGGCGACAGCAGCTCCCCCTCCTCTGAGAGCCGGCCCGGGGGCGGGGCAGGGGGAGGAGACGCCGGGAAAGGGGGGGGTGCAGCAGGGCGGGCGGAACCCCGGGGTTCCTCGGAGGCAGGGAGTGGGGACAGTCTTAGAGGCAGACGGAGCTGGGGCAAGGCCGCACGTCTTGGGGTTCAGAGGAGGAGAGACCAGGAGGTGACTGCACAAAACGGAACCCTGGATGGGAGGAGAGGTTGGGCTTAAGATGGATGGAATGGCGGACGCTGGGAGAATGGAGAAAGGGACCCTACTGCCCGGCTTGGGAGGGCAGAACTTGGGAGGGGACTAACTGCATAGGGGAGGGGTGGTGGTGAGATCCAGCCCGGGTCGCAACCCGGCCTTCTTAATCTCTCCTATTTTGTGTGAGCCAAAGTGGTCAGTCCCTGGTCTTCATACCTTCCTTCTGCGTTTTGTCGGCAAATATGCACCCCCACCCCTTCCCTATTGACTCCTGAAAGACCATAAAAATTGGGGGGAGATAGTGGCCGGAGGATGCACCGGGCCGGGAGGGGTGCTGGCCACAGATCTGGGGAGTAGAGAGGCCAGAAATAGCACGACCTGTGCCAGGGACGGGGCAGGAGGATGCGGGGAGGAACCCGCGAAGGGGCCTTTTAGGCTGTGCTCTTCGGACCCGGGGCGCTCAGTGTGTCTCCTAGGCGAGGGGCTAGCAGCTCCCGCCACATCCCGCAGGCCAACAGAAGCACTTTTCCACGCGGGTAGGAACAGCGTCTTTAATGGGCCCTGCCTCCCACCCCCGCTAAGCCGCCCCCCTTGCGTGCAACCTTGGCCTCCTCCACCGCGGCGCGCAGGGCCCGGGCTGGGTCCGCGCGGAGCCGGGCCAACGCCCCGAGCAGCGCCGCGGCGCCATCCCCCGCACGGAGCTTCTGGCCGCTCAGAAAATAGTGGGGCAGTGTCCCGGCCTCGAGCACGCGGCCCAGCTCATCCAGCAGCCCGAGGCAGCAGGCGCCCGCGTTCTCGGGCCGCGCGAGATAGAGCGCTGGCAGCCGCTCGCACGCCCAGTAGAGCAGCGTCCGCAGGAGGTAGGGCGCCGCGGCGCGGGTCCCGGCCACCAGCGGGCGCAGCAGCGCCTGGGCCGCCGCGTGCGCTTGCAGCAGCGGAGCGGGAATGCGCGTCTTGAGCGCCAGCTCCTGGCGGGCGAAGCAGAGCTGCCAGCCGGAGGCGCCCGGCTGCTCGGTGTGGCCGCCGGGCACCAGGTAGAAGGATGACGACTCGGAGGCCAGCGGGCCGGCCCACGAGTGGCTCCGAGCACCCTCGGGCCAGCCGGCCACGGACACCACGGGAATCAGGTCGAAGAGCAGGACGCGGCGCGGGGGCCCCGGCGTGGCCAGGAGGACGGTAGTGAACCCCGCGTGGCGGGCTGCGTGGACCAAGCGTGGGGCACCCGGGACCGGGAACAGGGACTCGGCGACCGCGGCCAGTGAAGCAAAGAACCACGCAGCCACCTGGGCGGGACAAAGTGTGGGCCATGCCTCCCAATCTTCCCACGGCTGTGGGACTGGGCTAAGGACGGCTGCTTTGGTGACGTCACCATTCAGGTTTTCCAGTGGGGGAGAAAAGCCAAGATCGATTATGTCTTGCCCAGGCGGCTCAGGCCCCGGAACGTTACTCGACGATTTTTCCAAAGACACGTTTCGCTCAGGTTCAGTGACATAACCGTGCGGCTGGTCCATGGAGCTTTGCCGACCCTTGGGACTTCCTTCGCTTTCGGTTCGGTGGCTGGAATCACGTCCTCCTGGGACTGGAGGTCCTAGGCAATCCTGCCAAGCCTCCCGGATGGAGGTTCCGCCTATCTGCTCTGGGAGGCACAGCCACGCGTAACAGGACTCCACGTCCAGTTGCACCTCCCGCCCAGTGCCGTCTAGCGAAAACACGGGCACTAGGAGTGTAAAGCCGGCGTCGTAATGAGGTCCCCGGATGTAAGGACCTAGGGGTGCAGGTCCCAGATCCAGGGAGCCCTCGCGAATCCCACCACGAAGCAGCAAGAGCTCTGCTTGGGGAGGAAAGCGGGGGTCCCGACGGTGAACAAGACCTACGGGAAGAGACGGGTTCGGGAGGGCATGACCCAAAGCCCGGGCGGGGTGGGGAGGGGCTGAAGGCTGCGAGTACCCGAAGGCAGGGAGAGTTACTTACCAAGCAAAGAGAAGACGAAGTCCTTGGCCCGGAGGAGGTCTGGTCCCGGCTTGGGCGCGTCACTCCAGCTCTCCTGCACACCCAGCTCCTGGATCAGCTGGGTTAGTTCCTGCAGCTGCGCCCCGGAGCAGAAGTCGATGTCCGTGAGCGGCCGGGCTGGGGCTGGGGGCGGCGGGCCCCACCAGGGCGCACTCCCCCAGACCGCGGAAGCCATGTGGCTCAACCGTTTGGGGCTAGGGAGGACGCTTAGACGGACCGTTCCTTTGCTGCCAAAAAGTCGCCCGCGTTCTTCTCTCCTCCCGAGGCCGCGAGAGTGCCCCAGGCACAGTTCGTCAACGGGTCTGCAGCTGAAGGGCTCTAAATTTAGTCTTGAAAACGAACAAATAAATACCTCCAACGCCGTTGCCCTTTTCTCAAATGATGGTTCCCGCCCCCATGGAACGGCTCACCTGACTCAGCAGGTAAAAAGTAGCTGTTGGGCCCCTCCTGCGAGATGTAATAGCGAGTCGCCGCCGCCGCCCTTGGTCAGCCTCCCCTTACCTCTCTTTCGGAAGAGGCTTGTGGTGGGCGGCTTCCCTCTTAGGGATAGCTGCAGGGGTTGAGAAGCGAGCGCACAGAACGATTCAACAGGTAACTTCCTCCTGTGGCCCGAGGCCACGCCCCCAAGCAGCGGACACGCCCCTTTCTGGCGGCTGTGCGGGTGGTTCCCGGCCGGCCCCGCCTCCTGCCGGAGATCGGTCACTCTTAGCTAGGCTGAGATCTCGCGCTGTCCTGGGGGTTGCAGTTTGTCTTCCGAGCTACCGGGGCGTTGACGCCACGCCCCCGCATCCTTTCCTGTTCCGCTGAAGTAGTGCCTGATGGAAGTTGTAGTTTCTATGGAGATCAACTGTTCTGTGACTTTCAAGCCCAGGTCGGCCCCACGCAAACATTCCATGGAGTTGGAACAGGATGGATCTGAAGAGCAAATAACAATGGCGGACATACCCTAGGGGCCTGGGGTGGGGGGGGGAAGAGGGGCCTCCACATCTCTTGTGTGAGTAGAGGAGCTCTGGTCACTTAGATCTAGGAGGGTTCGTCCATGCAATCATAACTTCATTTTAGAGATGAGACTGCAGCCTACAAAAGTTGCACACAGTAGGGCTGGACCAGAGAGGTGTTGGAAAGGGGCTCCCAGCTGGGTGCGGGGGCATCCCTTTGGAGTCCGTGTCAGGCAAGAACACACAGGTGGTGACCCAGGAATAAACATCTGACTGAGGGAAGGGCCACAGGTATTGGCGATGCCCACCTCGGACACATGAGTGCTAGCGGGGAACGCACTTTGGGATCTGCCAGCTCTTATATGTACACAGAAGAGTTAGCAGGACTGAAAAGTCCAGAGGAAAATCCCAACGGGGCTGGGGCAGGGCAGCGGAACACTATCGGGAGAAGGAAATTGTGTTCAGTGACTATGGCTACCAGAGACACAGCTTTAGTCCAGGATGAGACTGGGAGCCAGAATGAGAAGGCAGAACCACAGGAAACCAGGGACAGGCCCTCACAAAGATCAGACCAACCCACCGCTAGACCAGGACTTTCCCCATCCACCCCCCCCACCCCGCCACCGGAAGAACTATGTCCAAAGTGAGATAGGCCTACGTCCACGGCAAAGGACTGCGAAGGAGGGGACTCTCAGAATCCAGAGCTCGAATTGGGGGGCCGTGATCTCAGGGGTTCCTAGTCACTGACAAAGAAAGCTCTTCTCCGGGCGCCTGGGTGGCTCAGTTGGTTAAGCGACTGCCTTCAGCTCAGGTCATGATCCTGGAGTCCCAGGATCGAGCCCCACATCGGGCTCCCTGCTCGGCAGGGAGTCTGCTTCTCCCTCTGACCCTCTTCCCTCTTGTGCTCTCTCTCTCTCTCATTCTCTCTCTCTCGAATAAATAAATAAAATCTTAAAAAAAGAAAAGAAAAGAAAGCTCTTCTCCCTCCACAACCTCGAGCCCCAAAACACAGCCCAGAACTGGGGAGGCAGGTTTCCATATCCCTGGTTGTGACCCAAGAGACCAGAGGGGGAAAACTGAAGGCTGGGCTCTTTCTCACAGTCTGGGGGCAATCAGGTATAGGGCTTCCCTACCTCTTCCCTCCTCCCCGGAGGGTGGCCTCTCAGTCACACTGAAAACAATTAAGTTCTCTGGGTTCTGTGGGAGCTTTGAAGATGCTGGGTTTGAGTGACAAGGGAAAGGAAAGTTTCTCTAACCTCTAAAGCATTGCTGTCCAGTAGGATTTTCTGTGATGGTGGAAATGTTCTAAATCTGTGCCGTCCAATATAGTAGCCACACGTGGCTATTGAGCACTTGAAATGTAGATAATGAGACTGAGGAACAGAATTTTAAATTTAAATTTTTTTTCTTTTTTTCTTTTTTTTAAAGTAGGCTCCATCCATGCCCAACGTGGGGCTTGAACTCCCGACCCTGAGATCAAGAGTCACGTGTTCTACCAACTGAGCCAGCCAGGTGCTCCTAAATTTTAATTAATTTTAATTAATTTGCATTTTAACAGCCACATTTGGCTTGTGGCTACTGTATTGGACAATGCAGCTCTAGGCCTTGGGGATCAGGGTTTTTTTTTTTTTTTTTTTAAAGATTTTATTTATTTACTTGAGAAAGAGAGAATGAGAGATAGAGAGCACGAGAGGGAAGAGGGTCAGAGGGAGAAGCAGACTCCCTGCTGAGCAGGGAGCCCGATGTGGGACTCGATCCCGGGACTCCAGGATCATGACCTGAGCCGAAGGCAGTCGCTTAACCAACTGAGCCACCCAGGTGCCCGGGATCAGGGGTTTTGCCATGCAGGGATGCAAGAGAAACAAGGGCAGGGATATAGTACCAGTCCTCATCAGGCCCTGTGGGTGGCCAGCATCGGGAACAGGGCTGGGGTAAGATGTTCCCAAACAACCACAGAACACTTCTCTTGCCTCTTTATTCCTGATGCACCTTTGTCCCCTCTTTTTCCAAGGTCCTCATCACACACTGATATCCCCACTCCTTTTTGGCCTCCAGGGGGTTGCTGGATGCCTCTTGGCGACTGCGCCTGGGAGACAGAGCTTCACACTTGTCCCTGCCCACCCCAAACTGTCTCTGGCGGGCATCAAAGACCACATGCCCTACCCGGGTGCCCGACCCAGGGCAGTAGGGCTTCCAGTTGATTTTGGGAGGCATAGACATCTGGCGATAGCTCTGGTAGGCTGAAGGCACTGTATCCACGGGACGGTACACCCAGTCTCGGCTGCCTGCTCGTGGGGGGGATGGCTGCAGCTCAATTAGCAAAGGGACCTCTGAGAAGGTTTGCAGGTCATTGTAGATCATCACCTGGGGCTTGGAGGAGCTGGAGTTCTGACTAAGTGGGACAGAAGTCCACGGTAGTTGCTGTTGCACATCTCCCTTCCGAGGAGCCTCCTCAGATACGCATGACTTCATCAGGCACAGTGATGACTTTGGGGTCTGAGGTAGGCCCAAGACTTGGACTGAGTCGGTACTTAGAGCAAGGCCTGGGTTCTTGTGGTGGTTGGGATTTGAGATAAGGGATGAATCCTTGTGGAGGCTGGATTCCCCAGCAAGGCTTTGGGTCTTGGGGAGGCCATGGTCTTGGGTAAGGGCTGGGCCCTTATTGGGGCCAGGATCTTGATTAATTCCTGGGTACTTGTGGAAGTTAGGGTCTTGGATGTATTCCGGGCTCCCGTAAATTCCAACGTCTTGTGTACGGCCACATCTTTTGACTCCAGTGGCTTGTGTAAGGCTTGGATTCTTATGGAGACCGGAATCTTGAGTAAGGCCTAAGTCCCTGTTGACTCCAGAATCTTCCGTAAGGCCTGTATTCTTGTAGTCTCCGGAGTCTTGGGTAAGGCCTGAGCCCTTATGGAGACCAGAGGTTTGGATCAAGCCTGGGCTCTTGTTGACTCCAGAGTCTTGGTATAGGCTCTTCTGTGGGCAAGAATCTTGAGGAAGGCCTAGACTCCTAGAGACTCCCACCTCATGAGCATTACCTGTATTCTTGTAAATTCCAGAATCTTGAGAAGGGCCTGGGCTATTATGGAGGCCAGTAGTTTGGGAGAGATCTTGACTTTTATAGTGTATAGTCTCTTGGTTTTGTTCTAGATTCCTATAGACTCCAGAGTTTTGCATAAAGCCTGAGCTCCCCTGAATGTCAGAAGTTTGGAGAAATGGTATGTTCTTGTGGAGGCCACAAGGTTGGGCGAGGCATGGGCTTCTAAAGATACCTGCATTTTGAGTAGGACCTAGGCTCTTTCGGGGGCCAGAATCTTGGGTAATGACCAGATTCTTGTGAGGTCCAGAATCTTGGGAAGGGCTTGGACTCTTGCAGAGATAAGGGTCTTGAATAAGGCCTGGGGGCTTCTTTAGGCCTGGATCTTGAATGAGGCCTGGGTTCTTATAGAGGCCTGGATTTTGGGTAAGGCCTGGGTTCCTGGGAACTCTCAAGTCCTTTGAAGGGCTTGAAGTCCTTTGGAGACCAGAATCTTGGTTGAGGCCTAGACTCTCCTGAAGTTCAGGGGGTTGGGGTTGGAACGTCTTAGAGAACTGTGGAGGGATGGGGAACTGGGAAGAGGGGATGGAGTGAGAAGACTTGGAGGTTGGGGGAAAGGTGGGGGGTCGCATTGAGGTGGAGGGCTTCTGGTGGCTGGAGGGTTGATGAGGGACAAAGGATCTGGGAGACGTAAGAGGCAGAGAAAGAGTGCATGGGGGAGGGGTGGTCCTCAGTGAGCTCCGGGCACTTGTTGGAGAATGGAAGCAAGGTTGAGAAGGTGTGGCATCCTTGGAGTAGACCAGGAATTTGGGGTGGACCGGAGGCTGAGAGTCTGTGTTTCTCCCCTCAGAACTGCAGGGATGGAAGCCGAAACAAGGGAAGGTCTTGGGCTGTAGGAACTTGTCTTTGGCATCATTTGAGATCTTCCATTCCACATTCCCCAACTCCAGGTAGCCCAGCACGGAGCCTGTGGGGGGGGGTCTGACACAGCCACCAGTGTGTTGCTTCGATGTTGGCTCAGCTGTAGCAGAGCTGCCCAGACCCTGCCCCTCTTGGGGCCTGGGGAGGGTGCCCACGTCCCTTCTGGAGTATCCAAATTTTAGGGGGGGACACACATGGCACATATTCTGTTTCACCCTGCGGGCATCGTAGACTACGTGGCCTGTGGAGAGGCCTTGGCCGAAGGCAGTCAGGGTAGAGGGAATAGGAGTTAGGATGGGGGTACGGGTGGTGACAGAGACAGGAGTGGGGACAGGAGTGGTAGTCAGGGTCATGACCAGAGCTGGGTCGGGGGTTGGGCTAGAGATTGGGACAGGAGCTGGGGGAGGGGCTGGGGCAGGAACAGTGGCAGGGGTAGAAGTTAGGGGAGGCGCTGGGGCAGAGGTGGGAGCAGGGACCAGGGGGTGAGGGACATGGGTATAAGTCAGATGAGCATGGGCCAGAGTGCAGGCTGGGGCAGGGGCTATTATGTGCTCAGGGGTGTGACCCAGGGGACCGGCTGAGGTGTGCACAGGGCCATGGGCCTGGGCAGGGGTGTGCTGAGTGTGGTCAGGGGTGAAGCCTGGGGAGTAGGTATGGGCCTGGACTGAGGTGGGCTTGGGGCCATGGATCAGGACAGGGGTGTGCT